TACTCATTGCAAAATTCAGACTTAAACTGAAGAAAATTGGGAAAACCACGAGGCCATTCAGGTTTGACCTAGATCGCATCCCTGATGAATATACAGTAGAGGTGAAGAATAGATTCAAGGGTCTGGATTTGATAGATAGAGTGCCTGAAGAACTATGGACAGAGGTTCGTGACATCGTACAGGAGGCAGCAATCACCACCATCCCAAAGAAAAAGAAATGTAAGAAAGCAAAGTGGCTTTCTGATGAGGCTTTACAAATAGCAGAGGAAAGAAGGAAAGCGAAAGGCAAAGGCGAAAAGGAAAGATTTACCCAACTGAACGCAGATTTCCAGAGAACAGCAAGGAGAGATAAGGAGGCCTTCCTGAATGAACAGTGCAAAGTAATAGAAGAAAACAATAGAATGGGAAGGACTAGAGATCTCTTCAAGAAAATTGGAGAAATCAAGGGAGCGTTCCATGCAAAGCTGGCCATGATAAAGGACAAAAACGGTAGGGACCTAACAGAAGCAGAAGAGATTAGGAAAAGATGGCAAGAATACACAGAAGAACTATACAAGAAAGACCTCAATGTCCTTGACAAACACGACGGTATAATCACTGACCTTGAGCCAGACATCCTGGAATGTGAAGTTAAATGGGCCTTAGAAAGCATTGCTAACAACAAAGCTAGTGGAGGTGATGGTATTCCAGCTGAGCTATTCAAAGTCTTAGAAGATGATGCTGTTAAAGTTCTGCACTCCATTTGCCAGCAAATTTGGAAAACGCAACAGTGGCCACAGGATTGGAAAAGGTCAGTATACATTCCAATCCCAAAGAAGGGCAATGCCAAGGAATGTTCAAACTATCGCACAATTGCACTCATATCACACGCTAGCAAGGTCATGCTCAAGATCCTACAAGCTAGGCTTCAACAGTACGTGGATAGAGAACTACCAGAAGTACAAGCTGGGTTTCGAAGAGGTAGAGGAACGAGAGATCATATTGCCAACATTCGCTGGATTATGGAGAAAGCAAGAGAGTACCAGAAAAATATCTACTTCTGCTTCATTGACTATGCTAAAGCTTTTGACTGTGTGGATCACAACAAACTATGGCAGGTCCTTAAAGAGATGGGAGTACCAGACCACCTCACATGTCTCTTGAGAAACCTGTATAAGGGCCAAGAAGCGACAGTTAGAACCGGATATGGAACAACTGATTGGTTCAGCATAGGAAAAGGAGTACGACAAGGATGTATATTGTCACCTTGCTTATTTAATATATATGCAGAGTACATCATGCGAAATGCTGGCCTGGATGAATCACAAGCGGGAATTAAGATTGCTGGGGAAAAGATCAACAACCTCAGATATGCAGATGATACCACTCTAATGGCTGAAAGTGAAGAGGATCTAAAGAGCCTCTTGCTCAGAGTAAAAGAGGAGAGCGCAAAAGTGGGCTTGAAGCTCAACATCAAAAAAACTAAGATCATGGCATCCGGCCCCATCACTCCTTGGCAAATAGAAGGGGAAGTCGTGGAAGTCGTGACAGACTTCACGTTCCTGGGATCCCAGATCACCGCAGACTGTGACAGCAGCCATGAAATTAAAAGATTTCCTTGGGAGGAAAGTGATGGCGAACCTAAACAGCATGATAAAAAGTAGAGACATCACCCTGCCAACAAAAGTCCGCATGGTCAAAGCAATGGTATTCCCAGTAGTCATGTATGGCTGCGAGAGCTGGACTATAAGGAAGGCCGAGCGCCGAAGAATAGATTCTTTTGAACTATGGTGCTGGAGGAGACTCTTGAGAGTCCCTTGGACTGCAAGAAGAACAAATCAGTCAATCCTCAAAGAAATCAACCCTGACTGTTCCCTGGAAGGCCAGATAATGAAACTGAAGCCCTTCCTCTTAGGGGGTACCAAATTTCTCCCTAGGCGGTGACTGCTGCTGCCATTGCCAAATCTGAGAATATCTCCTGCTTGGTGAATTTTCACATCTAGCATTCTGTATCAACATATTTAGAGGCTCTGCCTAGTTGCTGCATCTCCCGCTTTGCTCATCCTACCTAGTTGTGGGGACAGTAATTTGCTCCTTCACAATTTTGCGCTATCGTGCTGAGGAGATGGTGAGTTCCCCTGCTGCATCTCCACTTTACTGCTCTTTGGGTGGCAAGACCAAATAGGCTTGGCATATTTACAGAGATCAGGCTTTACAGCATTAAATGTAAGGAAATATAATAAATGGAAATAAAGAGTACCCATGGTTTGTTCAAAGCATCAGGCTGAGCAAGGATATAAAGAAAAAGTGAAAACACACAGTCCTCTAAACCCCTCTATTTTTTTCACCGTCAAGTTGCAGCTGACTTATGGTGAACCAATAGGGTTTTCAAGGCAAGAGACAAGCAGAAGTTGTTTGCCATTGCCTGTCTCTGCATCACAAACCTGGACTTCCTTGGCAGTCTCCCATCCAAATAATACCCAAAAGGAAGATGACTCTGAATATAAAATGTCCCGTCCCCCCCAAATGTAATTCCTAGAAACGTTCATGTTACTGGACATGTGTAATGTGTGTGCAAGTGTAAGAGTGTATTTTTTGATTACATACCTGTGGGAAAGAACTAGTATTGAATTTGAGTAAATAGAGTACTATCTAGCCTTTTGCCTGTCCCAGTCTCTAGGTGTGGCCACACAGTTTGCTGTTGGCAGTATCTTCGCTTTAAATAAGATGCTTGCGTTTGGGCCACTTTGGATCAATCACACAGCAGCCAATAAGCTGGCATCATAGTGCTGCAGGCCCATGGTTGGTTGTTCACATTGCTAACACTCTGCAACCACGGGCCCAGGGCTGGGTTGGTTGCTTTTTTCCCTGTGTCCCGCTGTATGTGTGCAGAAGCAGACAAGTGCACGTGCGGTCCTGACCGCGTTCTATGGGGGCGCCGAAGCACATGTCAGGTTGAAAAAAATGAGTGGGGTTGAAAAAAACACAAAGGGTGTGCCAGAAATGGAGTAGAATGATCACACCCCTCATGTGTTTCCATGGTGCTCCCAGGCAATCAGGCGTCCAGAAACACGCCATAGAAGCACTTCGCCGAGGTAGCCAGCGGAATTTGCTGGTGACTACTTAATCCACTTGGGGGTCATTTTAGCGTGAGGTATGGACGGTTGGGGCACGGGAGCCAGATGTGTGTGTTTGATTGCTCCCATTTGGTCTGGAGGGGGTGGGTGGCTATGTCAGGCGGAAGGGCTCATGTGATCACACCCTCTGTCTCCGTTAGGTGTGACATTCCAGCAAGGCGCCTGACAGCTAACCTTTTGCTTTAATTCAGTCAGAGCCATTAGAATAACGAAGAGCTGGGAAGCTTTGTGCTTGGGAGAGAGATGACTCACCTCCTGTAGTTTCCCTTTTGCTAATCCTTCATTAGCATTATAGCCTCTGCAGCAGGTATAGAGCGCAGCTCCCAGAAACAAAATGCTGAGCTGGATTCTAGGGTGGAGGCTCTCTGTTATTTTGGCTGCTGCACCAGATGCAGAAAACTGCTGGGAATCTAGGGAGATGATTATCATTTTAGCCTTGGATTACCTGAAAGGAACTAGAGCAGGGGTGTCAAACATGTGGCCCGGGGGCCAGATGAGGCCCCCAGAGGGCTTCTATCAGGCCCGCAGTGGAACTGGCTGTCTTCTGCTTCTTCTTCCACTTCTGCTGCTGCCGCGTCATCGTAGGTTTGCGGCTTACAGATACACACCTGAACAGCATACTCAAGATTGCAACAGCACAGACATTTTGATGCAATAACTCAGAGCAAGAGGTGTCAGTTATCAGACACTGTTAAATAAACAAAATATTGCAAGAGTGCCAATGTTTTAAGCATGCTTTTATTTTAAGTAAAAAAAAAACCTTAGTGTTTGTGTCCTTTATAAAGTTTATATCTCCGCTACCTGGCATTACATTTTATGACACACATAGCCCGGCCCAACAAGGTCTCATTTATGTCAGATCCGGCCCTCATAGCAAATGAGTTCGACACCCTTGAACTAAAGGAAGGAGGGGATAAATGAAAATTCTTCCTCCTCATACAAATCTCTCCCATCAGGATATTTGCACATTTGGTTGTGGAGTGTATCATCAGCTCACAATTGACTTATGGAGGCCTGTAGGGTTTTCAAAGCAAGAAACAAACAGAGGTGGTTTGCCATTGCCTGCCCCTGAGTAGCAACCCTTGACTTTATTCAGCCCCGTAGCGAGGGATTTTTTTGTGAGGGGCCCTGGGGGGATCTTCCCTCCTCCCCAGCAAGGGCAGCCCTTTCCTGTGGAGCGTCTCCCTCCCTCTCTCCCCGAGGAGCCCCAGTGCCCCTTCCCACATTGCCGCACCAGGGGCAGCCTGGCCTCCACCCTCGGCTCCCTCCCAGGGCTGGGAGAGGTGAGGTGGGCGGTGGCTGGGCTGGCCACGAATGTCCGGCGTGTGGGTGCACTGGGCACAGCCGGGCATGCCTGGCCAGGGCCAGATGAGGCACTCGCTTGCCTCCTTGTCTTGCCTGCCTGGGCTTACTTGCTGCTGGCGGGCCGGGCGGCAAGCGTCTCTCAGCCCAGATTCACTGCCTCTGCTGCTTCTTGTGCCTCTGCTGCTTCCTGTGCCTCTGCTGCTTCCTGTGCCTCTGCTGCTTCTTGTGCCTCTGCTGCTTCTTGTGCCTTTGCTGCTTCCTGTGCCGCCGCTGCTGCTTGTGCCACTCTTGTCCTCCCTGCCGACAGGCCCAACGAGCAATCGGGGGCGAAGGGGAGCCAAGGCTCAGGGAGGGAGGCCCATAAAAACCACTAGGGGGACGGGCCCCGTGGTAGCTACGGGCCTGACTTTATTGGTGGTCACCTATCCAAGTACTAGCCAGGACCAACCAACGTCCTCATTTGTTTTGCTGTTAGGTGACCTCCGGATGCTCTCAACTTCCCAATGGCAATGGGCCTACTGCTTTTTGGGTCCTTATTATCCAGTCTGCTCACTGGATCCTCATTACCTCTACCTGTAGATCCCTGTCCTCCACCGCATCCTGGCCATAGCCGAGCGGCCCATCTCCATAGTTGCCAGCCCTTGGACTGCACCTGCCTGGCTGAAGAGCAATGACCAGATAAAGGGGAAAGGACGGTTGAAAGGGAAAGCAGGAGACCCGTTCCACAAGACCTGGGCCAACTACTTCATCAGGTAACCATGCGTGCATCTGCAGAGGTTGGGAGGAATAAGGGTCAGTTGATCTCGCGCTCTGTTGGATGGATTTAGGGGGGGGAAAGAGGCAACTCTGCGCTTGCCCACAGACACCGTGGCAGCCTGCAGACGATGTCAGAGTAATGGCCAAATCCTTTAAGAAAGTAAACAGGAGCTGAAACAGTTTATCCCCAGAAAGTCAGGAATCGATTGCATTTTATCAGTTAGTGGTGATTTTTACAGTTCAGACTGTTTTTAATATCTGTTGCGAAGTGCTACAAAACCACTGCTTCAGAGCGGTATATCAATGTAACATCAAACTGTTACTAGTTCAGGTAAGAAACTAGACATACCTGGAATTATCCATGAGGCAGCTTCCTGATGACACTGAGCCAGTGTCATCTCAGCCTGACCCGCTTCACTGGGCTGTTGCAAAAGATAAAACGGGAGAAAGCTATGTATGCAGCCTAGGAGGAAAGGTAGGGTAAAGGACTGGAAGCTATGTATGCAGCCTTGGAGGAAAGGTAGGGTAAAGGACTGGAAGCTAGGTATGCAGCCTTGGAGGAAAGGTAGGGTAAAGGACTGGAAGCTATGTATGCAGCCTTGGAGGAAAGGTAGGGTAAAAGACTGGAAGCTAGGTATGCAGCCTTGGAGGAAAGGTAGGGTAAAGGACTGGAAGCTATGTATGCAGCCTTGGAGGAAAGGTAGGGTAAAGGACTGGAAGCTATGTATGCAGCCTTGGAGGAAAGGTAGGGTAAAGGACTGGAAGCTATGTATGCAGCCTTGGAGGAAAGGTAGGGTAAAGGACTGGAAGCTATGTATGCAGCCTTGGAGGAAAGGTAGGGTAAAGGACTGGAAGCTATGTATGCAGCCTTGGAGGAAAGGTAGGGTAAAGGACTGGAAGCTAGGTATGCAGCCTTGGAGGAAAGGTAGGGTAAAGGACTGGAAGCTATGTATGCAGCCTTGGAGGAAAGGTAGGGTAAAAGACTGGAAGCTATGTATGCAGCCTTGGAGGAAAGGTAGGGTAAAGGACTGGAAGCTATGTATGCAGCCTTGGAGGAAAGGTAGGGTAAAGGACTGGAAGCTATGTATGCAGCCTTGGAGGAAAGGTAGGGTAAAGGACTGGAAGCTAGGTATGCAGCCTTGGAGGAAAGGTAGGGTAAAGGACTGGAAGCTTGTTTTTTCCTGATTTAAGGAGAGCTGCAAATACAGGGAAGGAGCCCGGAGGGGCCCAGGGCCTCTCGTGCCGAGTGATGCTAACACCTCTCTCCTCTGTGTGCTGGAATCCAGGTTCCTAGACGAATATGCCTACTACAACGTCACATTCTGGGCCGTTACGGCTCAGAACGAGCCGGCATGCTCCTTGTTTGCCATGAAAGATTTCCCCACCATCAACTACTCACCCGAGGAGCAGCGTGACTTCGTCATGCTGGATCTGGGCCCCGCGCTGGCCTCCAGCAACCACAAAGATGTCCTTCTCATCATCCATGACGACTTGCGGAGCAACCTGCCCAAATGGGCCAAAGTGGTACGGGATCGAACGCTGGCTCTCAGCTGGGATGGTCCAGATCCGTCGGCATTTTCCGGGTGGTGGTGGTGGAAACTCAAGTCGCAGCTGACTTACGGGGACCCCTTTTAGGGTTTCCAAGGCAAGAGGCGTTCAGAGGCGGTCTGCCAGTTCCTTCCTCTGCGCAGCAACCCTGGACTTCCTGGGCGGTCTCCCATCCAAGTACGAAGCAGGGCTGACCCGGCTTCGCTTCTGCGATCTGACGAGATCGGCCAAGCCTGGGCCATTTCCCAAGGTCTGGTTAAACTTGTTGCCCGCTCTGGGTTGGTGGTACAAGGGGCTGCAAAGTCAGTCGGCTCCACATTCTGCCACGTTCTGCATAGAACCCGTGAGCTGACCGTTCCTGCCCTTGCTCCGACCCTGACCTCATAGCTGGTCAGGCTGCCAACCTCCAGGAGGGGCCTTGGGTTCTCCTGGAATCACAGCTGAGCTCCAAGCTACGGAAATCAGTTCCCCTGGAGCAATGGCAACACCAGAGGGTGTCATGTGGCATTAGGGTTTAAGAACATAAGAGACGCCAACGTTGGATCAGGCCAAAGGCCCATCCAGTCCAACACTCTGTGTCACACAGTGGCCAGAAATACCAGGTGCCATCAGGAGGTCCACCAGTGGGGCCAGGACATTAGAAGCCCTCCCACTGTTGACCCCCCCAAGCACCAAGAAGACAGAGCATCACTTGCCCCAGAGTCCCTATCTAAGGTCCAAAGGACAAGCTGGCGGGGGGACTTACCGGGACACTCCAGGAGAGGGAAGGGAAGAAGCACGCTGTGCCTACGTCACCTACAGGTGATATAGGCACATCAGGGACGTCGGAGGGTGACGCTCTGGTTTTTGGGCAAAACTCTATGGTTTGAAGCTAATAGAGTTTTGCTCAAAAACCAGAGTATCCCCCCGCCACGTCACCAATGTGCCTATGTCACTTCCGGGTGATGTAGGCATGTTATGTTATTTCCAGCTTCTTGCCTGTTTTTTTTTTTTTGGGGGGGGGTAATTCCCTAGCAGCAAGGAGTGCCCGGTGGCCATTTCCCCCACTTTCTGATAGTCCTTTAAAAAAAAAATCATTAATTTCAAAATCTTACAAATTATTCACGAGCTTTTTTGCAACAAGAAAAAAAAATTAACCTTCTTTAATACTAATCCACTACTCTGTTCTGCTTCTACTTCATTCGTATATTATAGTTATTCATTAAATTCATTCTGGCCGCTGTGTGACACAGAGTGTTGGACTGGATGGGCCTTTGGCCTGATCCAACATTGGCATCTCTTATGTTCTTATGTTCTTAAGTTTGGTAGGCTTCAATAAATATTTCTGTCTCTCAAGATTACTCCAGTACCAATGCAATTATAAACTCTATTTCCCATCATTTCCCTTGTCTCTATTTGAGCAATGTTCTGTTAGATCTCCTTAGGTTTTATGACCATATGTTCTGTAGATATTTCATTAAAAAATTTATATTGCAAGATGAAGTTCTTTCTGATAGCCCTGAAGTGGGGGGAGGGGCTCCAACCCGGGGGATCCCCCCCCCCGTGTCCAGCTGGGGACTGGCAACCCTCTGGCCCAGTCTGCATCTAGCATTTGCTCTGCTGTTATACCAAACGCACACTAGAACAGAAATTCCCCGTCTACATTGCATGCCACTTTCACTTTGATTGAGTGTCGCATTTTATGGCAGTGTCCAGACTGCATGCTGCTTTCACTTTGTTTGATCTCTGGTTTTATGGTGGCTGTCTGCATAGATTTATGGCTGTTTTATGGCCATTGGGGGGGTTTTGATTCTGCAGTCAGTATGGTCTTGGCCTCCGGGGTAGTTGAATGTGGTTTTGAACTGCATCTTTTTCTGTTCCAGTGTGGGTTTGGTAAAACAACTGTAAAGGTAAAGGTAAAAGGTTCCCTTGCTCGAAAGCCAGCCGAATCCGACTCTAGGGTTGCGGTGCTCATCTCCGTTTCAAAGCCGAAGAGCCAGCGCTGTCCGAAGACGATTCTGTGGTCATGTGGCCGGCATGACTAAACACCGAGGCGCACGGAACGCCGTTACCTTCCCACCGAAGTGGTCCCTGTTTATCTACTTGCAATTTCTTGCTTTCGAACTGCTCGGTTGGTGGTTCCTCCCCTCTAGAGTTGCCAGTTCTGGGGTGAGAAATTCCAGGAGATTTCGGGGGTGGAGCCTGTGGAGGGAGGGGCTTTGGGAGGAGAAGGGAGTGCGGGATGTGTTGGCAGAGACTCCGCCCTCCAGGGCAGCCATCTTCTTCACTGGAATTGATCTCTGTTGTCTGGATATCAGTTGTGATTCCTGGAAGATTCCCCAGGCCCCACCTGGAGGTTGGCCACCCTACTTGTAATGATTCTTTGAACTTAGATCATGAGAAGGAGGGTGGGAAGGGATGAGCCAGTGCCCGGCTCTCCCGCTCTCACATGCCCAGGGCAATCCGGATGGCCACTTTGGGGTCAGGAAAGAATTTTTCTCCAGGTCCGAATGGCCCAGGCATCCTTGGGGCTTTTTGCTTCTAGCCATAGTAGCAGACAAAACAGGCACCCCTAGCATATAATTGTAGAAAACAGGAGACAAATCCCAAAGGAAGACCATCAAAGATTATAGACACTTGAAATGTCTGAGTTCAGGAAATGTTGAATAAGTGTTTAAACGTCAAAAAAAACATCTATAATGAGTCAGTGGTCCACAACCCAAAGCAAATACAATGCTCTCAAATATAATCATACAAGAAAGGGGACCCGCGATACTCGCACGGGGGGGGGGAGCTCCAGGCAGAGCAGGAGGAAGAGGAAGCAGCAGCAGGTAAGTCTCCCCCCCATCCCCGGACACCAGCGGCATGGCCTGAGTGGCTACCAGCCATGAAGCGAGCCGATTCCCCCCGTCCCCGATCTCTTCCACCCCCCTTTCCCCTCGTCTCCTCCCCCACCAGCGGCAGCTTCCAGCCGCTGGGCCTGGCCGATCTCTTCCACCACCCCTCCCCCGGTCTCCTCCCCCACCCCCCTCCCCCCCCCCCGGCAGCAAGGCCCGAGCAGCTTGCACCCGCCGGGCCTCACTGATCTCCCCCCGTCTCCTCCCCCCCCAGGTCTCACAGCAAGGCCTGAGTGTCTTGCACCTGCCGGGCCTCACTGATCTCTCCCCCCGGTCTCCTCCCCCACCCCCGGTAGCGAGACCTGAGCGGCTTGCAGCTGCTGGGCCTCGCTGATCTCCCCCCGGCTTCTCCCCCACGGCTCTGGTGGCGAGGCCCAAGCGGCTTGGACCCGCCAGGACTCGCCAATCTCCCCCCTGGTCTCCTCTCCCACCCCCAGCAGCCGCCGGGCCTCACCGATCTTCTTTTTCCCCTTCCCCCCAGCTCCAGTGGTCTCCTCCTCCGCCACTGCTGCTGATCTCTTCCTCCCTCCCCCTGCTCCTGCGGCAAGGCCTGAGCAGCTTCCAACTGCCAGCCCGCCACAGTTCGCAGAGCATTCCCTGTGCATGGGCAGGGAAGGGTCTCTTACTTTTGGGGAAAATTAAATATCGCCTCCCCAACTTTTTAGATTTTTGTGCACACCTGGGGACTGCCCCAAATGTGTAGGAAAATCTCCCTGCCCCCCAGGTGCCCCCGATACGCGGATTTAGATATCCGCACGCAGGGGTCGTCTTGACTATTAGTATATAGATGTGCTCATGGCATTATCATACATCAACACTGAATTACAAATAAACATGATAGTAATTGTACTCACGGGAGCTGATACCAAGGTATGCGCATAAATCCAACCGATCGATTCGCCTTGCTTAAATGCAATAAAAGTGGCTGACAGCAACCAGGGCAGGGCCTTTTTGACCAGGGGAAGAGAGTGCAGCCACCTTTTCCTGGCATTGCTGCTTCCATCTTGACCCTCTCCCCGACTGCTTCTTGAAGACAGTCTCATCATTTTGTAAACTGGCCTTTCTTCCAAGGTGTTTCTGTTTTAAAAGTAGCTGTACTCACTGGCATTTCAATGGAGAACATTTGTACGCAGAAGGCACCTATTGGCTAGCGTTTGTGCTGTCACAACCCCCAGAACTCTGGAATTTTTGGAACTAAAAAAAAAAATCACAAAGTTTTTTTTAAAGAAGGTAGAGGAAGAACAGCAAAAAGGGAACGTATAGATGTGATAATTCAGTTTCTTAAAAGTGGCCTCACGTATGATGGGAAGGGCATGATGGATAACTGAACCAGCATCTGATTTGCTAGTACATAAGTCTGTCATTCAGATGCGAAACTGAGAGGAAACAGGGATTATGCAACGGGGGATGAACCGGAGGTCACTTTTTGATATTGTCCATCTTCCCCCCAACTTCACTTCTTTTTTTGTCAGGTCCTTGGGAACAGCAGTGCAGCCAAGTACGTGTCTGGCATTGGAGTCCACTGGTACCTGGATAAAGTGTTCCCTGCTGAATGCACCCTGGGGGCCACCCATCGCCTCTTCCCAGATTATTTCCTGCTCTACACAGAGGCTTGTAATGGCTACGAGACGTGGGCCGCTAAAGTGGACCTGGGCAGCTGGGGCAGAGGCGTTCGCTACAGCAAAAATATCATCGATGTAAGTATAAGAACATATGAATGTAAGAATAGCCCTGCTGGATCAGACCATTCCATTCCATTCTTCTATTAGTGCTCGAAGAAGAAGAAGAAGAAGAAGAAGAAGAAGAAGAAGAAGAAGAAGAAGAAGAAGAAGAAGAAGAAGAAGAAGAAGAAGAAGAAGAAGAAGAAGAA